ACTAAAACCAAAGAAGAAAAATGGCTTAAAGCACTGCACAACTTCTGTGAACATCCTGGCCCCCCTCCAAGCTGAAGAAGAGTAAGAAATTATTGTTTTACATTTACAAGCGGTTTGTTCAGCAGGGCAATGGGCAGAGCTCTTGCCTGAAAGAGGTGGGGTCAGTCCCTTTTCCCAGGTAACAAGTTCTAGGACAAGAGGAAACAGCCTCAAGTTATGCCAGAGGAGGTTCAGATTGGATATTAGGGCAAATCACTGAAGGGGTGGTCAGGCAGTGGAACCAGCTGCCCAGGACAGTGGCAGTGTCACTGTCCCTGGGAGTGCTCAAAACCTGCAGATGTGGTGCCTAGGGACAGGGGTTAGTGGTGGGCCTGGCAGTGCTGGGTTATCAGCTGGACTCCATGACCTCAGAGGTCTTTTCCAGTCTTTTCCAGTGATTCTGTCACTCTCCAATTGAAAGTTGTACTGAGAAATGCAAATGCAGGCAAATGCATCCCACCCTACTCACACTTGTTGGGTTGCTTTGCTGCAGGTGATGTTTAGAAACAAATTACTCTTTCAGTGCATCCAAAATATGCCCTCAGAGAATTTTCTTTGCTTGGGTTTTTATTCTGATTATCCAATCTCTGTTATCACTGTAATATTTCATGCTTCTGGAAAAAAAAAAAAAGGAAAAAAAGTCATATTCAAGAACAAAACAACTCATGGCTTTTCTTCATTTCAGTCTTTTGTGTCCAAAGGGCTGTCCTTAACTCAGTAACTGAGTTTTTATTGTGTCACATTTCACTGTCCCTGACTGCAGTCAGCCTGGCTAATCCTTTTGCTACTGCCTTATCAGTATTTCCCTAAAAAAAGACACTGTCCTTTTATTATCACCTTGATACCCACTCCTGAGTGCCTGGCAGGGTTTGAGAATTTAAAATTATTTTTAATGCAGTTTTATTTAGGAAAAAGGAGCAGCTTCAAAATATTTCCCCACCCCGTTTTTATACATGCTTTTCTAACCATGATAAATCATCTGGAAATTAAAAAAAAAAAAAAGCAAGAAAAAAGGAGTGAGATTTAAGTTCTGTATGATTTTCAAAATGAAAGTGTTCAAAGACTTGCTGTTCACCTACTCCTAGCTGCTTTATAAAAGGAAGATTTGTTGCATTTCTGGTTGTGTTAAGAATTTGCTTTGAATTGAGTTGTTTTAAAAGAAAACAACAAAAATCAAATACAGAGCCTCAGGTGTATATATTAATTGTTGACTATTACATTCATATAATGCAGAAGATACTCAAGTATCTTGCTCTTGCAAGCTTTAATCTTGTGATAAATTTTGTATTTCCTGTGCCCCAGGGTCAAAGGCCAAACAAAGAGAGGGGAGATGTCCGTATCCAAAATCCTTTTTGTGACTGGAACAGGAGCTCAAGCACATGGACTGGAAGGGATCTCTCTGGGCTGGCACAGGCAGTGGCTGCATGGGCTGAGAGGCTCTGTTCAAAGCTCCAGCAGTACAAGTGATCATGAACAGGTATCTCTGATACCCTTCTCACCTCCATGAATTCAGCTGATTGCTCTCAGTACATTGAGAGTGTGGTAACTAAAGAGTGCTCAGGCATTTTTCCCCCTGATTATTTTAGTTGGGAACAGCATGGGCCTACCAGTGTGAATATAGAAAGGTCTTTTCTATCCCTTAAAGAACAACAGTGCCTTATTTCACAGACTGCAGGAACTCCTGCCCTAATACTGGACATTCAAGACAGATCTCAAGGAAGTCATTAATACTTTCCAAATTTACCAGGGAAGCCACAGGCCTTGGCATGGATGTTCTTGCAGCTACCTGCCAGATTTGTTCATTTCTGTCTACAGTTTCTCTGCTCTGCTCAGATCTCTTGGCCAGTAAATGCTCGCCAGGGACTATATTACTTTCAAAGCTTGGACTATCTGAAGAAGAAAAAGTGCTTTTTTTTCCCATAAGACACTGCAAAAGTTGCATGTATTTAATGAATGTGGAACTGTGCTCTAGGCTGCTGCTTAGCTGGGGGGAGAATAACATTTCTGCTGAATCCCGGAAGATTTCAAGCTAGCAAATTTTCACGTTTATTTTCTTTTAATAAATTCTCTCCTCCACGTACCCAGGGGCAACTTTGGTGGCACCAATCACCAACATACACATTTTCTCTCTATGTTACACTTCTTGAACCTATTTATTCCATTATAGTTTAAATTCTTCTTGCTCTTATCAGCTGACACTTACATACAGCTTTGTCTGCCTCCTATAGCAAACCTCTATTATCCTTGCTTTATTTGAAGCACTGAACAAAGTTCTTTTTAATTGTTGCTATCTGACCTCTGTCCTGGAGAAACAAAATTAGTTTTTCACAAGAAATGATCTCTGTAGCCTTTCCCAGCTATTGGCCATCTTATCAGACTAAGTGATGTTGTCAATTCTACCTGCTTCATCAACTATTTAAAGATTCACACTAAGTCCAGTCCAGTTTGTAAGAGACAAAGGCTAGAGTGAAATGTATGATCTCATTTCTCTGGGTACAATTCTTCCAGCAATTGTAAAGAGTGAGCTGTTGATATGGAAAGGTTAATGCTGTGCCCTCTTTTTTATCAATTGTCTGTTTTCTATCAAATCTATGTCTTATCTTGTGTCTGCCTTATCAGATCTGCTTAAGTAAGGTACACATTTGAAGCCTGTTCTAAATTTAATTTCTCCTTCTTGAAAGTCCTGCAACTATTAAAAAAAGAGAAAACCTTTTACAAAGTCTATTTTAGACAAGGGATACAGGCCAAGTTCAGGTATTAACCATTTGCCAACTATGCCCTTGATCACAAAATACTCCTCTCATCTTCAAATTGATCAGTAACCTAAAATAGAGCATCTTAAGATAACGTGCCCATTCCTAATTTCTTTTATTCAGTTAAAGGAATTGGATTGGTACAAATTTCCCTTAAAATTGGCTGTTGGCCTTTCCTGACAGTAAACTTCATGAAATAAAATAACTGATATCTGTTCTAGGCTTTAGCCACTCACAGATCTTGATTGTGAAGGGAGAGCTGCTGGTAGCAATCTAGAGCATCAAAAAATACTTTTGGGGTGTTCTTGGCACAAACTGCAGCACGGCAGAAGGCCACTGTTGTACTGCTGTACAACAGAACTGTCAGGATGCTGCTCCATGAAATCCCACATGTTTCCAGTGCTTTTGGCTTCCTTCCTTTCATTTTGGTTTCCATTTATTCTCTAGTGGTGAGGAAAACCACCAACCCCCCTCACTGCCCAAATATTTGCTCTGCTGAATCTTAAATTCTTATGTTCTACTTGTGTATTTTTTTTCTGCCTGCTTGATGTCTCACCAGTTCTTGTGAAATTTGGAAACTGAAGGGAAATTAAAATTGACAATTATGAAATTAAAAATAGACTAGCAGATCTGTTAGGAATCCTGAGCAGAGTGTAGGTAGAGATCTTGTGTTTATCAAATATGTTGCTGAAGATTCACCTCACAGGCTGGTTCAGTATTTCCAGACAACTCTACTTCTAACAGTGTTTTTCTTAATTCTATTTCCCTCTTCTCCTCCCCATTCCCAAAGAGCTGTGTGTCCTTGTGCCTTTGCCTCCAGACAGCTGTCATGGCAATTTGACCTTCCAAATGCATCATTTCTTTATCACTAAAAGCAAGGATTTTGAGTTAATACCTCATGGCCTTTGCCTGGAGGCCAGTTCCTTGTTGGCAGCATCAGTGCATGGTTGACTTTTTCAGCTTCATGTTGTATTTCATGCACTTAAAAACATTTCTTTCAGCCCTGTTTTTAGCATTCTCCAGTAGTGTAACTGTGGTTGACATTAAAAATATGTCCAACGTTCCCCTTGCATCAGTTAAGAATGTTTTGACAAGGATTTTCTAATGCTGAAAAAGTATTTTTGAAATGATGTAACTTCTGCTTAAACCTCACTGCCTCTCTCTCAGGCTCTGATTACAGGGCTCTAAATGTTTTATATTAACTGTTAAAAGACACTCTTAGAGACTCTTAGAGAAATTCTCTCTTCCTGTGCAAAAGGCAATCCAAGATAGTAGTTTGCTTAAAAAGAAAGGGGTATGTGCTCTAATAACATATGCTTTATAATAATGAAATGAAATGAAGAAACAAACTTAGTGTAATTCATTGTCCCATTCATTCATGGATTGAAAGGAAAATTAACCATTTTGGTAAAAACAAAAGCTAATGCCTTTTTTTTCACCTGGGATTCTGTAAGCCTTAAATATTCAACAGCTTTAAGTATAATGTGTCTTTTTTGTGTTAGACTCATTTTTCTTCCAATCCTTTGAGCACTTTGCATGCTTGTGCCAGCTTTCAAAACTGACAACTCTTGCCCTGCTCAAAGGACTCAAAGGATTCGGACGAAAAATTTATTTTAACGTTTGATCTCCATCACTCCTTGACAGAAAAAGTGAACCTGTAGCCATTACTAAAACTGCAGAAGATAACCTAGAATTTAATACACATAACAGGAATGAGAGTACCTTGGTACTTGCTTTGGTTTGGGAAAAGCAGGTTCTGCCTTTCAGTGACATAAACCTATTCTTCTAATGGCTATAATTTTGTTACTGCTCTGTCTGGGAAAATGGCACCACTCTGACTTGCCAGTTAGAACTAAGCCAAAGGAGATGAGTTTTGTGGAACAAATACCTTTGAAATTGCATAACTAGTATAGTAGTAAGGAATTTCTAATGCTGGAATTAACTAGAAGAGCATCTCTGAAAGTGTAGTCTTTGTTCACTAACTTCTTTTTGAGCCTCAAGATCTCTTGGGGTTTTTGTTTTGGTTTTGGTTTTGGGTTGGGCTTTTTCCCCAACTGAGGTATCAGACATTAAATATGTGCAGCATATTTGGAAGACAGACAAAACTGCTACCAACGCAAAAAAGTGTAGAAAAGATTTATTGTAAACAAAAGGATTTTGTGCAAACAATGAGAAAAAAGGCTTCTTTTTTTTTAAAATTGCCACAACTTTACAGCATGTAAAACTCTCCAAATTGACTCAGACCACAAACAGTCCACTCAAGTCAGTTATGCACTTGGCTTTGATTTTCCTTGCAGAAAGGAGTTCCAGCCTCGGAGGTTTAATGTTGGCTCTTGAGCAAGATCTAATTTTTTAATACCTCTGAGGCAAGAAGGCAAAGAATGACCCAACAAAATGGAAACAGAACCATGGCAACCTCGGGCTGTGGTACCTCCTGAGGCCCCTGGGGCATGATTTTGGGTAGCACTGGAGCCCTACCAGGCCCGGGAGCCGCTGCCTGTGGCCAGGCTGGAAAGGCCAGGCCCGGGGTGCTGCTCCTCCAGGCGGTGGAACTCGGTCAGGCGGAAGCGAGTGGCCAGAGTGTTCACCATCCTTTTCAGGGCGAAAAAGGCCGTGACCACTTGGAAGGAGAGGAAGGCGGCAAAGATGATGTGGACAGCTCGCTCCAGAGAGTGGATTTTCAGACCTTCATTAAATAGCAAGAAGAGGATTATAGGCAACTGTGGGAGGAGGGTCAGGAGCCAAAACCCAGCCAGCTCAGGCACCTATAATAGGGAGACATCACCTATTAAAAACCTGATAGCTGGGATGAAAAAATCCAAAATCTTGTGAAGAAAACACATTTCTTTTTGATTTTTCAAAAGCTGGCAAGTAATGTGGAAAGGCAAAGTGAGGTGGCTTCATATTTTCATATCCTGTGTTTTTAAGCGTACTTATATTTTCTGACAAAACAATTTTAGGGAGTGAGAGAGCTCTCTTCTGAGGGAAAACTACTTGGAATTCACAAAATTAAGTGGAAGCCAATGCCAAGGGAGGAGAAGATGCAGAGTGCAACTGAAGAAATGTAACCATCTCCACAACTTGTATTTCTTAAATAAAATGCCTGCCAGTTAATGTTGAAGAAATTAAAGGCAGAAATTCTTGCAGAAATTACTATGTACATATGGTAACTTACTTTCTCCAGGAGATTGCCCACATATCCCAGGTAGAGTCTAATGAGCTCTGTCAGAGAGACCAGGATCATGATGGTGACCAGGATGAACTTGTAATAATCTGATAAGACTGGATACTGGAGGGGAAGAAGTAAAAGTTTCTGCCATGCTCTCTGTCATTAAATTAAGATTTAATCACTTAGCTGTGCTACTGTCAGCTGACAGTAATGGCATTCAAACACTCCTGAACCTCCAGTTTCCATGAATTCCCAAATCAATGTAAAAACCTCTAACTCCAGTGAGCTGTATCCCACACTAGGACGTTTGATGTAATATACATTTACAAACCAGCACTTTCCTTCCTTCTCACCTTCAGGTAGAGGATGGCAACTGTGATGAGCCACCAAAACGGGAAGAAATAAACATTGAAATAGAGGGACATCTGCAGTGGCAAACTGGAAAGGATTTCACAATCTGTATGGAGAGAAAGAAGATTTTATCACTTCTGCTGTAAATACAAGAGAAGGATACTGCTCCATCTTAGCTTCATGCAGGGCAGTAATTTGACTCTTCCCAGTCAAATTAAATGTTAAGAAAAATATTTTTATTTATCCAGAGGAAACCTTCACACCCTATCTGGAGTTACATCACCTCCTGGAATCTAAGGTACCTTTTGGTTCCTGGGACAGAGCATTTTTATCATTTAGTCATATATTCAAGTTGAGTGTCCAGTTGTTGATTACCTGGTGGCTTTTAGCTTACTCCACCATCTCTGACTGAGGCTTTGCTCAAGAGAGCTGCTAGAGAGCAGGCTTGCACAGCCCACTGTTCATTTTCAATCTTTTATTTAAACAAACACTTGGATGGAAGCCAGTAATTCATCATATTCTTAAGGGATAACAATTTCAAATACGTGTCAAACTAAAACTCATCCTTTTAAGTCTGTAGAGAACAAAACGCATTCACACAATGCAATGTAGAGAAAAGCAAATCTCAAACTCCAACCTGTGGGCAGTAAATTCTGTACTTACAAGTTTGTAATAGACCTACAAGGTCAGAGTTAAGGAAAAATTTACCTAAAAACAGAGAAGCCAAGAGCTCAAATTTCAATTGTGATCACAGTGTTTAGGTATATTAAAGGTTTCCTTGACATGGTATTACTATTTATAAATTCTGTGCAAATTCTAAAACTGTGTTTGGATGAATGTTTAAGCAATATAAGCCAATTCTAATTCATTTTTCTATCCCTAAATTGAATTAATGCTTATTTGCTGGGATTGCTAAAATTAATGGAAAAGCCAGACAATATTGCAATGGCCAATCACTACAGCAACTCGCTAAGACACGTAGGTGTAAAACCTAATTTTTGAAATCCCGATGTCCAATAATTTGCAATTGGTTTCAGTGGATTGGGTATCAACATAGGAGTATCCTCCAAAGAGGAAGCCGAAAAAAAAAGAAGACTAAAGATAGAAGTTGTTTGTGAAATGTTTGATTAATGAAGAGCTAGTAAGCGTTAGCAGCGTTACTACACAAAGGAAGTGGGAACTCCTGTCTCGAAATAAGAACATATTTTTGATTAATTTGACCGGCTCAGAATGGATTTACAAAGGATTTTGGCTGAAATCAACACGGCCTTTCTGTGTAGGCGCACCGTGCGCATTTCCAGGGCTGCTCCGGCGCCCCGGGTTTGAAAAGGGCGCGTGTTGGTCCGCAAGCTCCGGGGCGGTACGACGGGCGCAGCCATCGCTCACCGCTCCGGGCAGGCTCCACGAGAAAGCCGCCGGCCACAGCGGCTCCTGCGAGCGGCGGCTCCGCGGGAGCGCCGGGCCCGTCCGGCAGGCCCGAGGCCGCGGCCCCGCGCAGTACCTGCGCGGTAGCCCGGGAAGCCCGGCGGAGCTCGGGGGAGGTCGCTGAGCGCGGCGCGGTGGCTGTCGCTGAACACGGAGCTGCTGAAGGAGACGAGCCGCCGCCGCAGGGGCTCGGGCAGCGTCGGGGGCCCCTCCGGCCGCGCCATGGCGCCCGCGCCGCGCAGGCGCGGTGGGGCCCGCTGCTGTGAGGAGCCGGAATGGGGCCGGGGCCAGGCCGGGGCCGGGCCGGGAGCGATCCCGGGCTTGGGGCGGGGGGAGCGGAGCCCCCGCCCCGGGGACGGGCCCCGAGCTCGGCGGGGCGCGGCTGTGCGGACCCGGAGCCCGCTGGGCGGCCACAGCGGCACCGCGGCGGCGTTTTAGTTTGTTTGGTTTTTTTTTTTTTTTTTTTT